AGAGAGAGAGAGAGAGAGAGAGAGAGAGAGAGAGAGAGAGAGAGAGAGAGAGAGAGAGAGAGAGAGAGAGAGAGAGGGAAGAAACCGTGTGCTGACACTATCGGACCGAAGAAACCGCCCTTATCAACAGGTAACATGAGGCGACATGCACAAAGGACGAAAAATATAGCGGTGTATCTTTCCATGTTCTGGTGGAAGATTCATTCATACGTTGGTTGGTGGAGAGCGAAGGGCCGATGAATCAGGTAAGCAAGTAACGTATCTCTGGAACCTTTTTTTTTTTTTTTTGGAGAATCTCTGAACAAATGAGACTGAATCTTCCGCTTGAACATGGAAAGATACATTGCCATATATGGGCCTCGCTGCACTACTCTGGAAATGTGCAAAACGAGAGTGAATCTTGCGCTAGAATATGGAAAGATACACCGCCAATATTTTTGTCTTGTTGTGCATGTCGAGAGTCGTGCAGCGAGCCCGTTGGTGAACGATACCGTTGAGGTTCCGGGCTTCACTCGTGCGAAGAATTTCTGATGTTCTTCCTTTACGTCTTTTTCTTTTTATTAAAAAAACAAATTCCAGGAAAAACGGCTGTCAGTTCCGTCGTTTTCTACTTCAGAGGTAATAAGAAGAGATCGTTTTGAAAGATCGCGACCCTCATCATGACTGAATCTGGCCTGCAAGAACCCTACCATACAGACTGCACTTACCGTTGAGGTTCTAACAGGTTGGACGCGCCGGGCGACACTCATGCAAAGAAATTCTGATTTCTTCCCTTACATTTTTTTTCTTTTTATTAAAAACAAAATTCCAGGAAAAACGGCGGGCTGGGGCGACAGTCCAACAACAAAATTAAAGAACCGACTTCCCCCCCCCCAGACTTCGAATCAGGTTCAGACTGTTCAAAAAAAAAAAAGAAGTACGGGCCTTCAGGCGGCCTCCAAAAAAATTTTCGAGTCCGTTTTCGTAATTTTCCTAGGACCCCCCCGAACCCCGAAAACCGAACCGACAATTTTTTTTTTTTTTGGTACCCTGCAATTTCGACCATGCGCCGCGCGTCGTGCGGGCGCCACTTGCGCGCTGCGGCCTGCGCCGCACGTGCGCAAGTGCCGCGCACGATGTGCGCCGCAAGTATGCTGAAAAGGTATCAGAAACATTTATGGGACAAGTGTCCTGGACACATACCGGCGAATCTGCAAAACCCCAAACTGAGAACGCACACCATGGGGCACGTCCACTTCTCACGAAAGACCTGCGAAAAAAAACGACAGGAAAGGAAAGAAAAGAAGCCAACCAGTCCCTTGGGACATCCGTTAAAATTGGAACGATACAGAGAAGATTAAAAAAGGAAAAAAAAA